GCATACTGAACCTTAAAAGGACCGCAATAAACTAACTTAAATTGCTTTGGAGAGCATTTTTTTTTAAATTTAATTTGCATGTAGATTTTAAACTCGAAATTGCTGGTTTTTGCCAGTTTCAGTCCCGTATCACCTTATCACGTTCCTTGCGACGTGACCACTATGTGGTCACGCTCCCATAAATCATAGACACCAGTACTGAGCCGCAAGGAGTGTTTTAAAAAGTGCTCGTTTCCATATCCTAGTGCTCGATCTATGTACTAGCCTGTAAGCCTCGGGCGCTTTGTCTCCATTGTTTCATTTTACAGAACGGTTTAATTCTTTGCCGGAGGAGCAGTGCTGGGGCCAGCAAAGGGACTTGTGCTTTTGACTCGAGGGCTGGTCAAGCACTGTGGCGTCAGAGTGACACCACTGACTTACTGACCTGCTTTATGGTCGTGACATTCCCGCCATTTGTTCCGCTTTCCACGGCAAGTATGTGCGCTCTTGTCCTCCTACCTTGTGCCGCACCGTTGTTGTGTTTCCATGAAGGGTTCTCTTTTGGGCGGTGGTAGTGGTGGTTGGTGGTGGTCCTGATTTACTGTGGGGTGGGGCCCGGGGTGTCAGGGTGCGGATCTCCTACTTTCACTCTTGTCTCGGTAAAAAGAGTTTGAGTGAAAGAAAACGGTCGGGGTGAGATACACAAAAAAAGAAAGAACAGGAATAAGAGCTCGGTAGGCTGGCAGGCTGGCATGGAAACATACCAGTCCATCCTCTAGAGCGGATGCCGTTCGCCATGCAGCGTTACGCAAAGAGAAGCATCACCTTCATTGGTGCCAGCGCCCAAGATTGACCCAGTTTTCTACGATGAAGCATAATACCGTTTCCTCGGAAAGCTATTGACATTGCAAAAATTTCATCCGTCTTGTTTGGCGGATCGAACCAGGGCATGTCCGCTACAAAAATATAAACGGTAGCCCCCCCCCCCCCCTCCCCCCTCCCTTTCTTCGCTGGTGCTCTCCAACGCCGGCGGCGGCAGCCCCCTGCAAACCGTCCCGTAACCTTTTGTTCCTCTCGACGTATTTTGTTACGGTTCCCGCCGGGACAATAAAAAGGGAAACTGCAGCAGCCCGCCCTCATCTGAACGGACAACGGCCCTCTCGCTCCGCTCCGTCTGCCGGCCGCGTTCGGGAGAGGCCGCACCTGTCCTTGTCGGGTCGGATGGGCGGCCGACAGGGGCGGGCGGGCGGACGGGCGGTCGCCAGCCTCTCCTCGCACGCCTAACGCACGCCCCCCCGGCGAGCTGTCATCGGCCCGCTCACACGCGATAATATTGCCACGTCAGGACACAAAGGCCTACGACTCTCGGGCCGCCCCTAGCCGCCCCGCGCGCCCCGCCCCGCAAACGTACTCGCCGCGGACACGTGCACCGGCGAGCGCCTCGTGGGTAGGCCGCCCAGCCGGCACGGCGGCGGGACAGGTGTCGTTTGGGGTGCCTACCGCCACGGCGGCGCGATGGCTCGTGCAGCTCGCCGATCAACTCATGTTCAAAGAGACGGAGCTGGTGCAGCAGCAGTCACTAATGGAGAGGCAATAGATGAGTTACATTTCCACGACAAAAGTAATGTTTGTACAAAATTTATTTGAAATTATAACTTTGTTAGGGTACATAATTTGGTTGCCCAGGATAGTAACCGTAAGAATAATTTTCATAGTTGCTTGACAGGTTTTCCCAACACGACCTTTTCAAAGAAAATATAAAAGCCATTAATAATATCTGGAATGTAGCTGGCTGACTATCCTCGCTGAAATCTCATGACAGACAACATCTCATTTCTCACTTTTCTGCTTGCTATTATTTCCCCCTTGAATCCCTGAAGGGCCATAGCCTTTGAAATTTCGTCCGGATCATTTTCTTTGATAACAACGAGGTAAAACAAGGATTTATGAGACAACAACTGGTCAATGTGATTTAGGAGCCGATCGGTCACTTCCCTACCTCTTACACCTCCAGCCCAAGCAAGATGCAGGAAAGAACCATCCACTCCAGGCTGCTTTAATTCTTCTGAAGTAGTTACTACGTAGGGAGGATTGAAAAGCAGCAAGTCAATGGAATTGTTCATTCTGAGCATAGAATCCAAGTCCATCTGAATGCATGAAACCTGTCAACACAGTTGTTCATTAGCTATACAGTCAAGCACCCCAAATTTCACATAAATCTAAGGTTAAAAAAACAGACTTACGTGACATTTATTTGCCTCAGCAGTTTGATGTGTGACTTGACATGCAAAAGGATTTAAGTCAGTTGCGATTGTATAGCTTGATGAGCCAAGTAGGCGTGCAATTGCTGTGGATATTACACCAGATCCACTTCCAACTTCAAGACATAGACTAGGTTTGACAAGACGAATCAAATTTATGTCTTTCTCAAGGGCATCCAAAAACAAAAAGGAGTCCTCTCGTGGCTCATACACATGGTCATAATCAGAGGCATTCAAATGAGAAAGATCGGGAGTTTCTAATAATTCTTGGTCAATGGTCTTTTGCACAGCTTCCATTGTAAGTTCAGTGCAAGGAGAGAAATTATTTTTTTCGAATTCAGTTGGTAGGCAAAGCTGGTTCGAGAGGGGTTGAGCTTGGTGTTATACTCGGAGATGGCTCAATTAAAGCTTTCCGTCGATTCTGTTCTTTATTTATTTGTTGAGTGAGCTTTATAAGACGATCCTGTAACACGGCAATAGGAATTTCACAATCAGACTGTATATAAATCATTTTATGAAATAACAATCATACCATACATACCTGAGATGATTGCAAAATGTTACCCACAACTGTAATTTTTGCCTTGGCTTCTGTTAGTTTCCGAACATATTTTTCAAGATCCAGTGGACATGTCTGCTGTTCTGCTACTTGCTTCAATTCTTCAGCTAAGGTATCCAGGTGCTGCTTTAGTTCTATTTGGCTTATTCTGAGGACCAATATTGATTAATTAACAATATTAATATTTTATTGTCACTTGAGTATAGGAGGACAACAAATACCTGGTAGCCTTAACTCTATCATCCAATTGTTCAATTGTAGGCCTTAGCAAACCTAATAGACCGTCAGCAAGAGTATCCCTAGTAGGATTGTCTCCAAAGTCTTCGGTTTTATCGTCATTAGATGTGGTAGTGCTGGCGTCGTCTGGCTGTTCCATGTGAGACAGAAATATGCACGAAAGCTGTTTGAAACAATAACATAAATTTTTAAAAACTTTAAAGCACTGTAAAATTATGAAACCCTAGACTTTGACCCTTAACCTCTTGATTTTTCTCAAGCACTATAAAATCTTCATACACCCTCATCTAGGCATCAACAGAAAATTTGACCAATAAAGAAATAAATTTTTATAAAGTTTTACAGGACGTTTAGGCTAATTTCTCGTGAAACTGTCGAGCCGCCAAAGTTTCAATGTGGCTGTATTAGGATTGGTAAAGGGATAAGGTGTGCAGCAACTCTCAAAAAATGAGTTCGACAAGAGACTTTTACTTTATTCTGCAAAAGGCCAGGTCTTTATTTTAAGAAATATTACTTACCGTGCCCCTTAAAAGTAGAGTAAGTTTAGTGCGAGGGTCTAGCCTGTCATCTCGCACTAACCTCCTCCTGTCTTCTGCTATTATCACAAACATCAAAACACACGAGTGAACTTTTCATAGCAAACTAGCCTCTCTCAAGGCTTGCTTTGAAACACACAAAGAAGAACTATTGACTAGAACGATACATCGAAGAATCACAAGTTTCTTCTTCATTCGCCATCAGCCCGCCGTTGACTCAGTAGGGTCAGAAATCTTCTAGAATTTATCTTGTACACAAAACAGGTGTACACCTCTGGTACCGGCTGTGTTTCTTTTATACTTCTAACTGCAGCTATGGCGCTAAATCCAGCCTACGAAGAAATCGGTAAAGGGTTCGTTCAGCAGTATTATGCCCTGTTCGACGACCCAGCACAGCGGCCCAACTTGGTCAACATGTACAATGTGAGTGTCTATTTAGTCTGTTTGCTACTATATTGAGTTTTTTCTACCTCCTATCGTCCGATCTGTTACCTGCATTGCTCTGCATGTCTACGGACTCAGATTTCGGCTCATGTCATGGGTTAGTTTTAAAGATGGTCGTACCCGTACGACACAGGAGAACTTTTGCCATCATTCGCTTGTTCGCTTGAGATAAAATTGAATTTCAACCTTATGGCCACTCTGTGTGGATCGTTTTACTTATAGGTGCTGTTGAAACCTTTCATGTCGTTTTTGTCCTTTCTGCCAACCATGCCTCGCGCTCGTGTCACTTGTGGTGAGGTTATGTTGCCGTCTATCAGTCTTTCAACAGCCGGCCCGTTTAAAATTAGCACCATTCGCCTATCACATTATTCATCTTAGCATGACGTAATTTGTAGCTTAGATTATCGTCTGTTTGTGTTTGGCGAGTGGAGCGTAAAGTCGAGTTATTATTACACACCAAGTCTGTTTGAAGGAGAGGATTCTCACAAAATGCATCCCTTCCTGTTTCTTATGACCACCTGATTAAAACTGCTGATGTTGCAATCAAGATGAATAGCATGTTTGTTCCTGCCAACCAGCCTGTTATGGGAAAGAAAATATGATATCAATAACACATTACACGTTTTGAGCTAGCACCCCTCGTCTTTCTTACATGCGATGTGGTGCAATTCATTCATTCTTCAAATTTCATTTTGTTGCAGCCTGAAACTTCCTTCATGACCTTTGAGGGCATCCAACTTCAAGGTTCTAAAAATATTATGGAAAAACTTACTGTAAGTTGGAATTTATTAAAATCTCTGGATACTCTCTTGAACTGTATCTGACTCTCTTATTTTACTGTTCACTTTCAGAGTCTAGCATTTCAAAAAATCAACAGACTGATTACTGAAGTGGATTCGCAGCCCATGTTCGATGGGGGTGTTCTTATTAACGTGTTGGGAAGATTACAGGTAAGATCAAATTATGATGTTTTCTCTTACGGTGCAATTGTCAAAGTTGCAACTTCAAGGAATATTGTTAAAGTAATAGCCTTTAATGATGTGGTTAACAAAGTGTTAAACAAGGCGTTAAATTTATTATTCTCTTTTGTTTTGTGGTTATGACATTAAGCCCGTCTAAATGGTATGACTCCTTGACATGTTAAGTCCTTCATGATCATCGAGCCAATCTGTCATAACACTACCTCCTCCCTTTCCTTTCCTCCTTTTTTCCTTTCTTCTTTCCTTTCCTCCTCCCTTTCCTCCTTCCGGCCTTCCCTCCCCGGACCCATATGAGTAAAGCAATTTAAGTTAACTGTATCTTTCGTCATTTCACTGTTTCAAAGACTTATGCTGTTGACCTAAAGTTTTTTTTTTGGCTCTGCAGACTGATGAAGACCCTGCTCATGGGTATATTCAGACATTTGTTCTGAAACCTATTGGTACAAGCTTTTATGTGCAGCATGATGTGTTCAGATTGGCACTTCATGATTTTGTGTAAAGCCAGAGCTGCAACCAATGGCAGGTAGCATACTAGAGGAGAGAGAATAAACCAGTGCCTGTTTTGTGCATTGCTTACTATCCACAGTACTGCCTCCTGTAACTGGTGTGCCTGTCAAGTTGCATTGCTTTTATAACTGTTAATGAAATATCCGTCTTTCTGTTAATCTAAGAAAGTTCCTGTTTTAACTACAGCTGACTCACCATTTACCGCTGCTTCTTTTTCTTTAAAAGTAATCCTTAATTATATTTGCAGTTTTTATTTTGAATAAACCAGTCTTGCTTGCTGAAAATTTCAGTTTCAGTTCATTTTGAATCAATTGGTCTTGAATACTGATTGAAAACTGGTTGTGAATGTTTCTTTCTGAAATTTAGAGTATAACTTAAGCTCATGATTTTATTGGCTGTTTACTTTCATTATTTGATTTCTGCATGAATCAGCCATGAAATGCATGTATTAAATTTAATATCTTCAAGAAAATGTTTATTACTATATTTGATTGCATGTCTTTAACCCCACAGGCTTTTACTTTTCCCCCACAATCTGCTTTATAACTAGGATTTGTGGACAGAACTTTTTTTTCTTAACCATTGTAGATACAGACGAGAGTTGTGAGTTTAATTTCATGACATGTTTAATCTTATCTTAATACCATATCTTTTACCTTTTTTTCAGTGTGATGACGATCCTCCACATGCCTACTCCCAAATATTTGTGCTGAAGCCCTTGGGTGGTTCCTTCTATTGTGCACATGATATCTTCCGTCTCAACATTCACAACTCCGCTTGAAGAGACTGCTCAATCATTTTGATATGTGCATATGATTGTCATATATCTGCTGTTCTGGATTGGGAAGAGTTTCAATCTTCCACTAAAAGCATGGAGATATTGTGTGGCTGAAGATAAACAGTGAATGGACAGTAAATTCTTGGCTTTTCTGTAGTGGGCTTTTTTTTTATTGACAAATTTGGAATTGTAAGGAGAGACATTCTAGAATCACTCATTCAGCAGACTTCTCAATTTTGTGTACTTTCCAATGTGTTTTTATTTAACTCTGTCAGCCAATGTGATGTAAGTTTTAATTGTGAGTAGGGTTGACTATATTTGCTGTTAAGTTTCCTGGCCTTGTTATGTCTTGTAAGAATTATGAATATCTTTGTTTCGCTTTGATGTGATGTGTTGAGAACATATCTCTTGGCTAAAGTGTAATGAAGTTAAATTTGTGTTTGGCATTGAAGACTAACATTTTGTCAGCTATTGTGAATTTTATTCTCCCTTTTTGCTGCACTTTTGTCCTAACCCTAGTCTGCAAACTATCTGTTGTATGCTTGCCCATTTGTTGAACAAGTTTCATTCGTTCAGTAAATTTCCTGGGGCAGGCCTCAGTCTACTACAGTGCTAGGTCAGCATTGGCTTTTTTAAAGATCTGTCTGAAGAAAATCCTATGTTTGCTCTCTGCTGTTTGCTCCAAGGCTGGAAAAGAATTGCATCTTGATTAAAAATAGATTTTAACAAATGTGCTGTTCTGCATGATTGTTTCTCCCACACGGATGAACAAGTTCATTTGAACAGATCAATTAAGACTAATATTTGTTTCACACAATGTTTTGTATTTTATTGTCTAGGCCAAACAAACTGTCTATTATTGTAATAAAAAAAAATGAAAGTAAGCAAGAGTTTTGTTACTACAACCTTTCCAAATTTTACACTGCGAACATGAAGTGTATAGCACTTCGTAAACACATTAGCCCAATTTCATAACATAAACACCTCATGGAAACCATATTTTCACCTGTTCGGTTAATTGAACTTAATTTTGAAAAAGGGAATTAAGTTTCTTTCTCAGATGAGTCAGAAGACAAAGGGACAGAGGACAAATCTTCAGCACAAAACAGTATATTCAAAATGGTGGCGGCAGTGCCACAATCCGGAAATCACCAAGCAGAAGCAGACGACGTTCGCCCTCCTTCTGGTATGAAAATTTCTATTTCCAGATGAAGCTGTATGAATTGGAACATTTAACTTTTTACATTGAGGAAGTTGTTTTACCTCAATCAGGATGGATTTAACCGTAAATTTCGTGCGAAGTGGTGCTAAGTTGGTGAGACTCGGAGGTGTAAGTTCCGAAATTGTTAAATCTTGTATTTGTTTACACCGGCGTTGAGGTTGGGTTATCTACTGCTACCATTCTATCTACTATTGAAAGAATTAAAAAATACCATTAAATCAAGTAAAATAAAGTCTTCATCTTTTCTCTGTATTTTTCTTATGAATATAAAACTGTATTTTGTATTAGGTATTAGCTCAATCAAGCATCATCAAGAGAGGTCATGGCAGAGTTTGGAAGATAATCAACCAATATTCCTGCTCGACTTCATTGTCAACTTTATCCTATCCTGAGACCGTAAAAAATATTAATGAAGGTCAGCTTCCAAAGGCAATGTTTAATAAATGTACCATTTTTTTTCTTTTCAATCAATATCTTTTCACATGTAGATAAGAAAAGCTTGTACACCACACGCACTCACACTTGTGGGGAACTCACAAGTAAAGACGCTGGAAGCAAAGTGTGCCTAAAAGGTTGGATCCAGTACAACAGAAAAAAATTTCTAGTCCTCAGGGATGCTTATGGAATGACTCAAGTACTCTTAGAGGAAGTGGTAAGTAGAGTAGTTTCTTTTGGAATTTTCCTGATTTTAGATTTGCGTGTTAAGTATCACATATATCTTATTTTCTTGGAAACAGGGTGGAGATATGCAGAAAATTTTAGATGGACTCACACTTGAAAGCGTTATTGAAGTTAAGGGAGAAGTAATTTTACGACCAAAGGATCAAGTCAACAATGTAAGGATTTTTGTCGGTTTACAGTAGAGGTTTTGTGATTTCTTTGAAGCCACTCTCATTACTCATGCATGCTTGGAATTCACACAGTAATTTAAAGTTCTGTTTCTTCTTCAGAAAATGATCTCTGGTGATATTGAAATTAAAGCATTGTCTATTCGTGTTCTTGGTGCTGCTCCTAGTCAAATGCCCTTACAAATAAAGGAGAACAAAATGGTCTGTAAATATTTTTCTTTCTAATCTTTTTTGTTTTCTAGTATTATTTTTTTTATTTTTCTATTTGAGCTCCTTTTTTTTAGCCAACTGAAGATACAAGAATGAAATATAGATACCTTTATTTGCGGTACCCTCATATGCAAAAAATGTTGCGCTTAAGATCTCAACTCTTCCACTCAATGCGAGAGTTTTTAATTCAACATCACTTTGTGGATGTGGAAACTCCAACATTATTCAGGAAAACTCCAGGGGTAATATTGGCAATCTAATATGGCACAGCATGCTTTTCAAACCAAAGAATGATTTATGTGATATTAATGTCAGAACTTCAAATCATTATTTGTCAAAACTTATTTTTTTGACTTAATTTATCTTTTTTTTTATTTACAGGGAGCCCAAGAATTTGTAGTGCCTACCCAAATACCAGATCATTTCTATTCACTCGTTCAATCTCCCCAACAGTTCAAACAATTATTAATGGTCGGTGGTCTTGATCGGTACTTTCAAATTGCTCGTTGTTACAGAGATGAAACTGTGCGCCATGACCGCCAGCCAGAGTTTACACAAGTAATGATCATTACTGCTACACCGTCCCCATTGCTCAGGTTCTCACAGAATAATTATTATTTTTATCACGTATTTTCCCCAGCTTGACATAGAGCTGTCATTTGTTGATCGAAAAAGTATTATAAAGCTCATAGAAGAGCTTTTGAACTTTTGCTGGCCTTCAGAAGAAGAAAGGCCTGATATTCCATTTCCTCAAATGACCTATCATGATGCTATGTTGAATTATGGCTCAGACAAACCTGATCTCCGATTTCAGTCCAAGGTGCTAGCAATGTGAAACTTTTTTGTTTTTACCTATGTATGAGTTGTGAACCACTGCCATATCTATCTATAATTTCTTCTTGCAGATATGTGATGTTACCCATCTGATAAGTCCTCAGAAAATGGGTTCCAACCCACTAAATGTGTCTAGTGAATTATCGGCCAGAGCCATTGTATTTTCAAAAGCAGCTGTATGTACCAATTTTTTGAAGGAATTTTTTTTTCCTGCAATGTTAAAATGATAGTTTAGTTCTTCCATCATGCTTAATTTCAGTCAATATGCAAGAAAGAAAATCTCAAAGAAATCATAAAGGAAGCAACAAAGAACACCAGCTCTATTAATTTATTTCTAATTCCAATTAAAAAGAATCAAGACATTAAGAACTCATTGAAAAATGTGCTCACTGTTGAAGAGATTGATAAAATTGCAAATGAATTAAAAGTAGAGGAGGGTGACCTCTTTGGCTTTTGCTTTGGAAAAAATCAAGATGTTGTAAGTTGGACCGAACAAACAGTTTAGTATGAAAAAATGAAAAACACATACTTTAATGAAGTGTGATTTTTTTTTTCAGCTGAAAGTACTTGGCCTGACTCGTGTGTTAACAGCAGATGCTTTGGAGGCTAATGGATTTACTGTGCGTGAACCCAATAACTGCTTTCTATGGGTTGTTGATTTTCCTCTGTTTGAGGAGAATGATGATGGTTCGTTACTATCGGCACACCATCCATTCACTCAGCCACATCCCGATGATTTACAATTGTTGGGAACCGAGCCACTCAAAGTTCGAGGGCTGCATTATGACTTAGTACTCAATGGGTCAGAAATTGGTGGTGGCTCAATCCGTATATCTGATGCCCATCTCCAAAAATACATCCTTCATGACTTATTACACCTGGACACCAGTACCTTGCAACATTTAATTGATGCTCTGTCGCTTGGTTGTCCTCCTCATGGTGGGATTGCCCTAGGTAATTTGTGATATTTTTAACCATTCGATCAATGATGACTGTTCTCATTCACCATTTACTTTTGTATGACTTTTAGGACTAAATTTACTTTTTTTGTTTATCCAGGATTGGATCGTCTTGTTTCTATGATGACTGGTGTCAAATCAATTAGGGAAGTCATAGCTTTTCCAAAAGGTCTAAGAGGGAAAGATCCTATGGCTGGAGCTCCTGCTCCTCTGACTAGGGAAGATGCTGCAACATATAAGTTGCCATTCAATCACGGGAAAAGTTCTTAGTTCACTCAGCACTTACAGTGCCTTGACAAAGTTGAAAGTGTCGGAAAAACAAACTGTTCTCTTTGTGGTCACCTTGCTATAAATGCATTGATTGTTTGTGATTTTGGCAGCAACGATCATTAAGAGTAGTACGCACGCTTCTTGTAAATAAATACTTTTATTGATAACAGTAATATACAAAATATGTCTCAGGTCTTACAAATATTAATTTAATTAACTAAACACAGCACAATATCTTTGTCTCTCCTAGTTAGAGTAAAGCGTATAATTTTTATTTAAAATTCACTGCCTCTATTTTCTTGAGATGGCACTTCACTTTTCTCTGTTTACTAGGTAGATTTTTGGCACTTATTTTGCAGTCTGGTCTCATTTTAAGATGCTAAATTGCACTCAATATTGATGCAGCAATCGCTGATATCGCAGCCTCAAATCCAGCTATTTCTCTGTGAAGCCCTTGCAGAAGCAGTAGAGCTTCATGTGGTAGTCAGCCACGCAGCTGCTCTGGGACCCGTAGCGGTTCACCCTCGACACGGTGCCGGCAAGCGACAGCTGTTCTCGTTGCCTGCTGTCCCTCCCCTTGGCCTTGGAGCGCACTCGGACCGTTGCCTCAAACAGGGCGCCGCCGGGCTTGGCGCGCAGCAGCAGGGAGTAGTCCGTCACCTTGGCCAGACCCCTCGCCGTAGAGAAGACCCTCTCCCGGGCTGCTGAGGACGACTCTCCGCCCAGCTCCGGGCGGCCTTGCTGCCGGCGCGCGTCCAGTAGCACGTCCAGGACGAGTTTGGCGCACTGCCGGTACCCGGCCAGCATGGTGTTCACGCGGCGCACCACGAAGGCGGCCGCCTTGCGTGCCAGCGAGTGGTTGGAGGGCACCGGAGTGGACGAGTAGCACGTGCACCTGACGGACAAGCATTGGGAGGTGAGCTCACAGGCGCGGGGCGGACCGGCCGCCACGCTCGGGAGGTGAGCGGGTGGCCTACCCCCGAGTACACAGGCGCCAGGCTGGACGGGGGCAGGGCGGGCCCGC